TATATATTAAAATGATGTATTTTACTTCCTCTAAGTTTTCATTTTAATTATTTTACATTTGATTGATTTTGGACCAACTTGGTCAAATTTGGGGATTTTATTTATTTTGACAAGATAAGCGTGGGGAATGATTTTATATACATGGAAGATGACTACTTCAAAGTTTTGATGATTTTTTAAAACCTAAACTTATAATGACCATTGATTTTGTTGATAAAATGTGGATTTAAATCCAATGAGGAATATAAATCTCCTTGGGGCCACCGAGGTTCAAATGCGACGACTCCGGGCTACCTGCAAAGCAGGTGGTCGCCTTGGGATTAGTCGGCTCGCATAGCGGGTTGGATATCCAGGTCAATAAAAAAATGTGGATTTAACCACTTGATGGTTATTTGTATACAAATGTTTTGTATGTTGGGTATGGTTTGACATATCTAGAAAGTGTTATAGTTAGACTAGAATGCAATAGATTCTAGAAAGCTATAAAATTATAGTATTCTATAACTGTTTGAACTCACTAGACGTTAAACCTAACAGTTTTTCCCTTAAATGACATGTATATCAAGATTTCTTAGCGGTGGGACTCCTAATGCTTGAGCAGAGCTATGTACGTCGATAGAGACCTTTCGGGTTACCATCTTTTGGACTTACTATTATTATATACTAGGTTTGTTTTTTAGAATAGTATCAAAATAGCTTTTGTTTTTCGATGTTTCGATCGTTATCAACCTGTGACCTCCATTTGTTGGAATTTGTCATTGTTAACATCCATAAAAAAATATTTTAACGTAAAATAACGAATTATGTTCTTGGATTATTTACCAGCATGAAAATTTAGTGTATTAATAATTATTTTGATTTGGAAATCAGGATGAAAAGAAATGACGTTTGAGTAGTTTTATGACTGTTAAATGTTATGATTTTCAACTTGAGTTGAAGGCAAGTTTCTGATCTTGTATATGTTGAAAATGTAGATTTTGATAATGTATCCATACTGTTCAAGAATTTTATTCGAAAAACTGTACAAATTGATGAAAATAGGGAGAGGATAAAGAATAAGAGCTAAGTTAGGGATGGCAAAAAAAACCTGAAACCGATGGTGAAAACCGAAACTTTCGGGCCTGGTTCGGGGACATTTTATCGGGGACAAATTCGGGGATTTTAACGTGGACGGGGGCGGGGGTGAGGACGGTGATCACCGGCCCGGCCCGATATGTATATATATATATATATTAATTTTAATTTATATATATATATATATAATATCATTAAAAGAAAATAGTAACATCAAAATTTAAAAGACTTTTATTCACTATACCTAAACAACCTAAATAAAGTTCACGAAAAAATCTAGTTTATTTGTTTAAAATCGTGATTTTAGTTGTATGATGTTTGAATTTTTGTTTAGTTTTATATTGTAATATAATATATTGTTTGTAATTGGTTATGTTTGAGACATGTAAACTTACGTTTTTAAAAAATTGTAATTTACTTTTAATTGTGAAAATTTGCATATTCTAATATTTTTTTCAGATCGGTTTCAGGTGCGGTTATAACCAACGGTGAAAAAGATGATTTTTACCCTTAATGGGTTCCCCAACGTGGATTGGGGAAACCGCCCCCGACGAAGATCGAGGCGGTTACGGGGACGGAGATACTAATACCCGGCCTGAACCCGGCCCGTTGCCATTCCTAAGCTAAGTAGACAAAAGTGTCCATAATCCAGTTAATATTTAACTAATTTACATTGATCGTTAACAAATAATGGATTAAGATTGTCGCACCATATTTCTAACAATCTGATACCAGATATTTTTAGAACTAAAACATGAATACTGAATACATGTTGAAGCAATTGAATTTAATAGCTCAATCTAAACATAAACATCTATCGTGGTTAGATCTGAAAGTGACCATCGGTTGCTTTTCACCTTGGTTATTCATGAAGTACACACTATTAATTAGCTTTATACTTAATGACCAGTTCTTAGTTTTCTAAACATATGGCAACAAAAATGTCAACATATCTGAACAAAAACATGCAATTTGAATGTATGCATAAAATCATGATGAATCTAAACACATTGAACGTATCACAAACCTTTGAATTTATGTTATAAATTACTAATGTTGTTTGGATCCTACATAAAAATATGGTCACTATATTGTTCTTCAAATTTATATTTTATTAAAAAATAAAAACATCATCGTTTTTTTAAAATTATTTAAGACCATATTATAACATCGACTGAGACAAAAATAAAATGAAATATTAAATCAAGATGTATCTCGTTGTATTGCACGAGTATCCTTCTAGTATTATTATTAATTGAAATATCTTATTTATTATTAGTTTTTCTAAACTTTATTGAATTTTTTTATGAACGTAATAAAAAATTAATGAGTTGACTGCCGAATAATTACCAAAACTGATGACAAATCAACCCCGATTTCTTGGGGTAAGAATCTTAATCGGATTTTTATTATTTTTTGCTATAAATTCATCTTCCCGGCGACGTAGACGTATTCTTTCTCATCACTGACATTCATCGCCACCACCATGGTTACAGCAAACGTCGCCGGCGGGCTTAGCATGAACAAGAAGACCAAAGGCCGGAAAAAGATTGAGATCAAGAAAATACAAGAACCCAACAGCCGTCAAGTCACATTCTCCAAACGCCGTGCCGGACTTTTCAAGAAAGCTTCGGAACTGTGTGTCTTGACCGGAGCCCAGATTGCCATCTTCGTCAACTCTCCCGGCGGACGAGTGTTTGCATTTGGCCACCCTAACGCCGACCTTCTTGCTGACCGTTATCTCAATGAAAACAACATCGACACCACCACCACCACCACCGCCGTCCAGAACTATCAACCACCGCTGCCGGCCATGTACCAGTTCAATCAACATTACGTGGAAGTTACAAGGGAGTTGGAGATGGAGAAGATGCGGCGAGAGTTGATTCCGGCAGAGAGGAGCGGCGGATCACAGTGGTACGAGGAGGCTGTGGATGGGATGGAGGTGGAGGAGTTGGAGCAGTATCTTTATTCATTGGAACAGTTGAAGAAGAAGGTAGTGATGAGAGCCGATGAACTAATGATGATCAAGAAAACTCCTACGTTGTTGGGTTCAAATTTGTTTAATCAAATGGGGTGGAACAACCACATTCAGACGATGGATATCCCTACCACCACCACCACCACCACCGTCCACCACGGTGGTTTCAACCTCCATCACGGCGGAGAGATTGGGAAGTTTTAGTTACATCAATTGCTTAAATGGATAAAAATTAAGGGTTGCATATGGTGAAAAACTTGGTTCATATTCAATGAATTATTTTGTTTTTTTAATTGGGTATTTGTTAAGATTCAAGAAGAACAGATAGTTAGTATGCCATTATAAATGTAAATGACAAAGATTGGATTTGGTGACATTAAAATGTTCTCTTAATTGCTTGTTGTTTCGGATCATTTGGCATTTCTTGAATTAAATGGGTTTGAAATTTGTGTTGGTTTTATGAGATTTATGGTTTTATTCAATCATTCGAAATGCGTTCTAACATGTGGTCCTAAGTGACTATTTCGAATTGGGCCGATTGGAGTTGCTAGTAGTAACATTTTTGCTCGAATAGTAATTAATAAGGTAGAAATTGGAAGTATGATGGCAATATTCATGTAGTAATCAACTCTAGTTAAGTATGGCATTAATGATCATCATCAAGTAAAGGATTGTTTGTCGTTGAGGTTTTTCTACAAACACCTGGTCTGCATCCCATATACAAATTACGAAAGAAAAGGTTAAAAAAACATGATGAAAATAGGTTGCTGCTTCTGGTCTTCGACAACCCCTTTTTCAGTAACTCGTGATTTATTTATTCACATTGTAAAAATGGCTTTTTACATCTCATCGAAAAAACCAAAGTGGGATATCGCCACCACTATGAGCAACACTCCTAAACAGAAGACCGCATAACAATGGCGACCCAATCTCTCCATTTCTTCTTGTAATCTCTCCATAACCATCGCCATATCTCTTCTTCTCTTTCAAGCCCTTGAGTAGAAATGAGAGATTACAACATACACATAGGAGAAATGGTCCAAGTCTAACTGATGTAACACTTCAACAGATATGAAAACAAATAATATAAGTTCTAATGCATGGAATGCAAGTTTACCTGAAAAAGCACGAAGTCGCTAAACCTTATGTTCTAACCCTCGTTTTTCAAAATAAAACTATTTTCAGTGAAATGTTATATTGAAAGCTCATCCAAGGGTTAAAAGGGAAGAGGTGACTCACTGTAGAGATAACTTGGCATAGAGGACGAAGATTTGTCTACGATTAGGTTTGTAATAGTTCTCG